GCCCGCAGAACTCACTGGCAGGTGTTGTGTGTCAGTTTATGTTCCTGGACAGGTATTTTCCTCCTGGTTTTCCATCAGACTGATCTCAGACCTACCTCAGGTCCATGCTACCAGTGAAGATTTCCCACTTTTGAAGGAGAATCTGGGGGTGTGGAGGGGCTGGTGGTGGCTCTTTGCCAGTAATGGGAGTGATAATGTTTGGAGTCAAACATGGGAAAGTCTCTTTTTTTCTTTCAGATTTATAATTATTGTAATTTAGGGTAGGCCAGCATGCCCATAGTGTCGTGGTAAGCACCCAGAGATCCCCGGTTTGTGCCGCTGGTCCCTGACAGGGTCACAGCCCGGCGTGGCTCAACGAGCAGCTGGAGGAAGCGTTGTTTATGAGTCGTTACCATAAACATGAACAGGCCTGTTTGTGCTATGAGGCTGGGCTGAAACCATGAACCAGGCTTGTTGCAGGTGAGGTACTGAGCACCACCTACCAGGACTCACCTGTGGCTGAGGTGAGGCCGTCAGACCTGCTCGAGTGAACAGCTGATGAATCTTTAGAGACACTGGAACCCTTTCAGTCCCTTCTCATTGATGCCCCGCCCCCTCACTGGGACCTCCCTGCAGCTCTGATAGGTCCCAGCCTCGCAGTTGAGGTTTGCTGATGTTGTAACCTCCATGAACAGTCTGCTCGCTTCAGAGTCCTCAAAGATGATTGGCCAATGCAGGTTTCCACAAAGTGATGTAACATGTGAAAGATGATATTTTCCTGTTGACAAACTGCTACAAACACACTCTGCATATCATGTCCTCTCATCAACTGGCGTCATGAAGCATCTGTGGGTCAGAGCGCTCCTTCAGTTCCTAGATCGCAGGGCGAGCCCGCATTAAGACCACAGAGGTGCTGCCCTCTGTGGTCTTAATGCGGTGCACATGAGCTGAGAAGCAAATGCAAAAATCATCAGCCGGTGAGAGCACGGTGACTTCCTGTGATCGGGTTTGTTACACCGACTACGAGCACAGGCGTTTTACACTGATACGTGCTAACATGTCAGCTTTTATAAGGGATACTCAGCCTCACACGTGCAGGTTATTGCATTCAGATTTTCAGTAAACTTGACCTCTGACCTTCATCACTCTCCTCCCTCAGCTTACAGTAACCAGGACGTGTACCAGCAGGTAACCGTGGGATACAGGATGCCCCAACCGCCCAGCTGCCAGGACTTTCTCTATGACATCATGCTCCAGTGCTGGAGCGCCGAGCCGGCCGACCGGCCCGACTTCAAGTCCCTGAAGGCCCAGCTGGGCCGAGAGGAGCTGGAGTGACACGCACACGCACTGTTTGAAGCTCGTCTTCTTGCAAAGCTTCATCTGGTCGTCCCTGAGAGCACAGAGAAGTTTAGGGAACAGCTCCCATCATAAGCTAACGAGTTTAATGAGCCAATCATCTGCAGATTACTGCAGGAAGAAAGACGGGTTCACAAACTTTTATCTGTTTTGTCCTCCATGGCTGAAGCTGGAGGACGAGACACTGAGCCGTCGGTGTTTTTAATCACATTAATCATGTTTCATGAGCTTTCCTCAGAGCTAACAGCCACACGCCTCACGTGATGCTTTAGAAGCTACTCGTAGCCTCGCTTTGACCTCTGGTCTGACCTCTTACTGCCCTCAGGTACCAGTATGCAGAAGCCGAAATGAAAGTGACTTAAATTAAACTAAACAGGACGTGTGACAAAACCAAAGCTTCTGCCTGGAACGAGGTCCCAGCAGTCACGGTGTCTTTGGAAAAGTAATAAAATGCCTTCATGTTGCAGGTTCCTGTCAAACCTCTTTAGTTTGAGTCTCTGCGGCCTGACGAGGCGGCGCTGCAAACGTTTACTCAGCAAACTGAAGCTTCGACCACAGCAGTGCAGCGAGGCTCGAGAGGCTGCGCTGAGAAACGCTTCCTGCACTTTTTCGGGCTTCACTCGTTGTTTCAGGTTTTATTTTGTTGTCACTGTGATGCACTTTTTAAAGCGAATGATTTAGTGTTGTAGGTCATCATCATTGTTTTTATTACTGACATTTTCCTGCTCTGTAACACTTTCAGCAGCTCTGCACATCTGTCACGTCGCCTCAGAATAATATTTTCTTCTATGTGAACTTTGTTTACAAACACATTTCATGCAGAGAATAAAAGAAGAAGAAAATCAATTTGCATAAGATTAGAAAGTAGCAGCTGTAGTGTCTATCTGTGGCCTGCAGGGGGCAGCGCAGTCTCAGGAGCTGCTCTCTGTATATTAAATATGAGTTT